TGAAATCCCTCTCCCGAAACTCTTCCCAAACTCCTCCCGTGCCGATCCCCCGGTCCCCTTCCCGCAGCCCCGCCACCTCAGCCTCCTACATCGGGCCCATTCGGGGCATCCCCTCCTACATCTCCCCCTACGTGCCCCGCTTCCTGAAGGAACCCCCCTTCTTCCAGCCCCCCACCGCACCCCTGCCCCAGAACCAGTGCTTCCCCTGCTCCTTCCCCTGCCCAGCCAGGGAGCCCCCTCCTCTCCCTGACTCTTTCTACTTCCCCCTGCTACCGCCTCCTCCCCACCACCCCCGGCTCAACTGCTCCTACCCGACCCCTCCATCCCTGTTCACGCCCCCCTCCTCGCTCACCTACACCCCACCCACCGAGGTTCTGGTGAGCGGGAAGCCCCACGTGGTGCCCACGGTGCTGCCGGCCACCTTCTACACGCCCTTCTCCCGCTACTACACCCAGCCCCGCCCGTACCGCACGCACCGCCGCAGGCCCAGCGCCTTTCCCCTCACCTCGCTCCCCAACCTGCCGTACGACGGCCCAGGCCGCTCTGTCCACTTCTTTCATGGGTCCTAGGCCTCAGACCTACTTCGGACCGGAAGCCTCTACCAGGAAATTCAAGCTACTACATCCAGACTTCATCAGCTACCTGAGGGAGAGGTAGGTGTTGGGGCGGGGAGGGTACACAGAGAACAGCTCCCCCTCCCATCCCCCTGCACACCAACCCATCACTGCAGGCTTTATGCCCCGGACGGTTACCCACAGGGACAGCCAACCTGTTCTGGGCCCAAACGCAGGCATTCCAAGGCGACCACAGGGAGGAACCCGGGAATAACAGCCTGCTCTCACCCCTCCTTCCCGCCCTCAGTCCCTCTCCCCTACCAGAGGTTCCAATGGTGGGGGGCGGTGTCACGTGGCTCTCTCTGGAGCCGTTCTGGTTGTCACTAGGTAAGCGCCACTGGCGAGCACAGACAGGGATACCGTACACAGAAGGCCCCTGCAACCAAGAATTAATTACTTGGACGTCAATAGCGCCATGGCCGAGAAGCCCTGCTGTCGCCCCCTGCTGGCCCCCTCCAGAGCAGGTGGAGGGTGGCGAGTGTGGCTCTGGGTAGGCCGACTGGAGCCAGCACTCCGAGCCATCCAACAGAGGAAGAAACAGGCTCTCCAGGAGGCTAGGTGGTTTGTCTGGCAAAGCGTAGATGTGAATCCGGGGTGGCCGCCGTAGTGTGGCCTCACTTGGATTCCGAGAGTGTGTGCACATTTCTCTCACCAGTGACTCTGGGCCCAGGCCCTGGGTGCCCTGCTCATGCGCCTCTTAAGGGACTCCTCCTGGGTTGAAGTCTGGGGAAAGAAAGAAACACTGGTTTCAGGCTAGATCAATAGGCAGCCCGTCCCCTAGCCACTGTGGTTACTTAGCCCAGGGGTGAAGGCAAGGTGTAGCAGAGAGGAAAGGGGAATCAGGCTGGGTTCCCGCTTCTAGAGCGGGAGAGGGAGGATTATACCTGTAGTTCTGCCCAGGCCTGCTCCTCTTCTCACCTGATTCTGTTACCCAGACGTTTGCGTTTGCTTTGTGTTTTCTCCTAAGTGGGGAAGAGCAAGTTCTGAACGGTTCTCCAGCCGATCGGAACGGGTCGCTGGAAAGCATAGGGGCACAATCATCCACTGAGACCTACACCTCTTTCTTGAGTTTTGATGCCACTTCTCCTCTCCAGGTTTTTGAAATCAAAGTTGATTAACACAAATTTTGGAGACCTATATATGCCTAGTACTGGGGCCCTCATGCTGCTGACGGCTTTGCACACCTGTGACCAGGTAAGAGGCCTTCTCTTTGAGGGGCCCACAGCAGCAGGGGGCAGGTGTGGCTGGAACCTAATCTGACCTGATAAGCCCTACAGGAGGCCTGTCACCCCCAGGGGGCCTGGGACTGGCCCGGCCCCTGTCCCCTTGGGGAAGGGATTCACCCCTGTGGGGAAGGGATTCTCCAGCCACAGGAGCAAAAGTGGGTGTCTAGAAGGGGCGGGAGGAAGTGGCACTCCCCAGCTACCTCCACGAGGGCTTGGCAGAGACCTTCCCAGGACAGGTGCTGGGCCTCACCTTCCTCCAGCAGCCGCCTGCCCGGGGACCTCTGTCCTTCACCCCTGTGGTATTTAAGGAACATGTTACCAACTGTTCTTGTGAAAGCAAAATTGCAACAGGAGTGGATAAGTACATCCTTTTAGGAGAACATTCTAGAACTGAGCTGGGCAGCAGGTTTAGCCTTCCACACACAGCCTTTGAAATCACTGCCTGAGACGTTCCCAGTGCCACCCACATGAGCCCAGCAGAGGTAGAGGAGCGGTTTTCAAAGAAGGGCAAGTGACCCCCACTAAGGCCAGCACAAAAGCCGGAGGCCAAGGGCCACCCCACGACACTGTCCTTTTCCTTCTCCCAGTTTTTTTGTTTTTTTGTTTTTAAAGCAGCAGTTCCCCGACTGCGCTCCCCTTAGAACGAGTACTCGTGGACTTGTCTCCACCTCACACTTAACAATGGAGATCATGGCTTTGATCATGAATCACAGACCTGACTTTGAAGCCCAGCCTGGCCACTCACTAGCTTGTGACTGAGGACATGGCTGGTTACCCCCGAGCGCTGCCCCATTTGAACACCTGAGGTTATCCCGAGGCCGAGAGAACGTGTCCAAAAGCGCACGGCCTGCCGTTAGCGTGAGCTCCGACTACTGTTCACCTGTGTCTTCCACACGGCATCTAAGGAAGCGGGGGGGTGCCTTTCCCAGTTCATGTCACTTCACAAATCTGCACAGAGCTCAGTAAATGCTAATTCAGTGACTATCCTTGTCCAGGTTAGTGCCTATGGATTCATCACAAGCAATTACTGGAAATTTTCAGACCACTATTTCGAGCGAATTAAGAAGCCACTCATATTCTACGTGAACCACGACCTGTCCCTGGAAGCCACCCTGTGGAAGAAACTGCACAAGGCCGGCATCCTTCGACTGTACCAGCGCTGACCCTGAAGTACTCAAGCCCTTTGTTCTTGCAGAGCTGTGGACCCGTGGGCCCCCTCCCCGGCCCCTCACGTGGCCTAGGCGGCCCCCAGTTTTTTCAGCCTCTGAGAAGGGCTCCAGCTCCCCTCCACCAACCCCTTCTTCTCTAGAGAACTTAAGAGCTGGACTTGTGACTGTTTTTGAAGCCTGTTCATTGCAGGACACCCCATCTTGTTCTTGGTTTCTCCAAGAAGACTCCCCTCGAGGTTGGAGACAGATATCCCGACCTTGGGCGAAGGAGACGACCGCTCTGCTGGGTGTTTGAAAACTGAAGGTAATGTGAGACTGTGACCCTCACCAGCGAAGGGCAAACACACTTCAGAGCAGAGGCTCTCAAAGCCAGCCGTTGGTAGAGAACTTGACTATGTGGGTGCGGCGACTTCGACATCTCCACTGACCAGGATCAAGCAGCAGTGCAGGCTCGCACACTCGCCAGCCAGACCCTCCCACAAGCATGTCCAGCCTCCCAGCAACTCCACGACGTCGGACTCTAAGACATGCCTACACCACCCGAGGACATGACCACTTTCCTTCTGCCCCATGATGAAGTGGGAACGCAAAAGGCAGAATGTAATTCGAACTAGGTACTCCCATAAATGACAGGATGACCCTTGAGTCTTTTCTGTGTGTTGGGGAGGGGGCTGGGGTGGCACACCAGAGTGTTTAGCAGGCAGATCACTCAGAAAACTCAAGAACCATGGGCCAGTCGTGGTAATTTGACAGGGGTCAAGTGCACAGAGGGCTGCCCACCTGTGAAAGTCCCACTGGATCGATTACCACTGGCCACTGAAGTGACAAGATCAGGTAAAGAACTCTCCGCCTCACATCACGGCTTCAGTAAATCTGGACTCGGCTGATAGGCAGTTTTAGACAGATCACAGGGGATTCCGTTGGAAGGGTTAAGTCTCAACTAACCGAGTCACCTCCATGTAGCCCTTAAGCCCTGGGATTTACTGGCCCCATGACTAGTAGCTCCAGTCTGACCTGCTACACTGGCTACATGGACTAGAGCCTTCCCGAGGTGGCACTGATCACCACTGGCTAATTCACAAAGGCCTAGGACCTGGCCTCTGGCTCCGTGGTTTTGGAAGGTAGAGCCTATCAGCGTCTTAACAAGAGGGTAACTGTCACCAGAATCAAAATTCTACTTTAGAAATTCAAGTATGTGATCAAAGGCCTCGGCTTTCACGATCGAGGCAGCTACTTGAAACTGCTACCTGGGGCTGGTGGGCAGCTTAGACTAGAGGGGAGTAGCCAGCAGGAGGCCATGGCCTCTCTTAAGCTTGGCAACATGGAACTGTCCCTTAGTCTCAAGGACAGCAGTGTCCTAAGTATGTTTCTCTGGATAGAATTACTGGTCCAGAAAGAAAATGTCTAATGTGGGAAACGTGGTATCGTCAGTCCGCTCTGCCATCTGAGTGACCGTTGCTAGTGAAGAAATCCAGCTGCCCTAAGTCAGGGTAGCCAGCGTAGCCCAAGTCAGGACTGAACTCCTTGTAAACAGGACATTTCACTTGTCCCTATTCCGCTCACATCTGTAGCTATCAGAATCTTTGTCAATCCGTCAGATTAGAGAAATGCTAACGTCACATTTGTGGGTGGTAACCCATTAAGAGGGGTAGAAAATCAGTTTAGTGGGAAACTTCTAAAACATCTGATTACATCCTGTGGAACTTGGGGGGACCCTAGTGGCTCAGTCGGGGAAGCACCCCACTCTTAGGAAGAGAAATTAGACTCCCGCTGAGCCTAGAGCCCAGAAGCATCGGACTCAATGTGAGTTCAGCTGATGATCTCAGGGTTAGGAGATCGAACCCCCCAATGAGCGTGGAGTCTGCTTGTGACTTTCTCTCCCTCTGCCCCTCTTAAAACAGTATTCGGAGAAACCTTCATTTATGTAAGAATACGTTTGCTGAGTCTCAGAATAAAATCCCTTTATGAGGGTCTCAACATGAAACATGAAACACATTTTCAAAAACTTTTATTTATGCTTCAAATCTTAAGCCCAAGATACATTAACTTCACAGGAAATCCACTCTGAGAAACCTCTTTCTAGGCCAAACACCTGCTTCCCCTCAGACTCTCCAAAACACAGCGCGTACACGTCATTCTCCGTTCACAATCCCCGCCTTCCTGCCAGTGCGCCGCTCACACCCAGATCGGCTCAACTGCGGCGTTCTGCATGTTCCTAGTTATGCCCTGATTTGACTAACCGCCAGATATTTTTCGGGGTAAACTGTCACTCAAATTATTTGGTTCCTTTTTGAAGAGAAAATCCAAAGAATCCTTCCAATTGTTCTCCCTCTGGGGCCTCAGTTTATGGGCATGAACAGTTCGCAACAGACGCAGTGCAGCTCCACCTGGCGTCGCGGAGGAGAACCTGCAAGACCAAAGGAGAGTCGTGTGACGGGCCAGTCAAGTACGGGCCTCAAAACTGAAAGCCAGATCTAGAGAAGAAAAGGCAATCGTAGCAGCGCTCATTCCAACCGAACATCGGGCACAGACCGCTTCGGAGCAGGCTGCCCTCACCAGCTGAGGCGCGAAGGGAGCAGGCCCGGCGAGGGGAGAACCACCAAGAAGCACCGGAGACCGTCTCATTCAACCCTTTTCTGGAGGTAAAACCTTTCAAGTCAAACCTGAAGATCTACAGGAGTCCCACAGAGCAGTTCTGACGGACTCTGCATCAACGATAATGCAAGAAGCTGACTTCCCGACTCCCTACCGCTTCCTTTTACTGTTTTTTACTTACAGGCTGTAAACTGCTGGGGCCAGTCTTCAGGCTTATTAAATCCCACCCCAAATCTAGCTTCCTTGGTGACTGAACAATTATGTGACCTTAAATAACAAAAGCCCATACATACCTCCCAATTTCAACAACAACAAAGGCCATCTGCCCACTCCAAGCCTGGCATTTAAGTGGGAACAAAGCCAGACCACCACCCCGCCCAGTACACTGGGCTACTTTTGGGTCACACGCCAGCCCACGCAGCCCTAGGCCACGCCAGGAGCAGCGTCATGCCCACTACGCTGTCCAGAAACGATCTGAGCTAACCCTAGGAGAGCTCCCTGGTGGTGTGAACGAAGCACCTGGAAACCAAACAGCTCTTCTGGCGCCACGGCAGCCCTTCTTTCCCGAATGTCACAATGTGGTGCTGAGGGAGGTCCCAGTCCTGCCACAGCTGGCAGACTTCCGACATTCCCGTCAGTTTCAAAGAGTGCATTCATTTCCTTGAAATATGGGACAAGCACTCTTTGATTCCACAATAAGAACATGACCCGAAACTGGGCTACTTGCCCATGTCTGCCCCTTCTCAGAGCCTGTACCCTGAGGACCACTGATCAAGGGCCCAGAGCGTGACAGGGCAGCCACACTACTGGTTTTCAAGTTGCAGAGGGATGACGCACGCCACTGGGGTCTCGGCGAGGTAACAATTTCCTCTGGAGTCCATTCAGGCTGATTCCTGATGAAGCCTAAACCTTTAAGAGCAAAGAGCCAAACCCCGATGCCTCAGAATAGACGGTTTCCCCTCAGCCCAGATGTTCGGACAGGGATAACTCACCATCACAGGCTCGTGGGGCTTCCTAGGGACACGGAAGATGGAAAGAGAGACTACAAGCAACAGGGGAGGGGTCCTTTCACTTCAGGCAAAGCAGCTCCGCTCTGTTTCACACACTGCAGACATCCAGCCAAAGAACAAACCCATGTTAAAATCTCCCTGCCCCCAGCACAATCCTAAACCCGGGGCAGGAGCAGCAAACAAACCTCCCACCCAAGTCTATTTGGAAGGGCTCTACTTACATACAAAAGTCTCCGCTTCAGGCCCAGGGCAGTGGACTGGGCCATCTGCCTCTGTAGGATCCTTTCCAGCCTCGGAAACCAAGGCTGGGACTGTACCTGGCAAGGAGAAATTGCAAAAGAAAAATCTACTCAAGATATACACAGGTAATTCTCAAGCCGCTCACTTTCAAATCTGGCCTAAATTTCCCTTAAAGTGAACTTGGGAACTGAGTTTCAGACATCCATATTCCACAGAAAGGCCTTTCTTTGCCTTCAGACAGGGATAACTTCAGATCATCATGGACTCAGCTCCCGCCAATCCACCAGCCCCCAGGGCTGACACTTCTAGCACACGTAGGCCACTTTGTCCTTACAAAATTCAGCTTTACTTCCCTCATAAAAATTCTCAATCTTGTCTACTTTATTAAAAGAACTTTCCTTCAAAGGTAAAAATGCTGATACCCAGTGCCTAGATGTACCCAGCATCCCGGACCTGACGGACACTTCCTGCCCTTTTAAAGACAAAGTCCAGGGCGCCTGGTGGCTCAGTGGGTTAAGCCGCTGCCTTCGGCTCAGGTCATGATCTCAGGGTCCTGGGATCGAGTCCCGAATCGCTCTCTGCTCAGCGGGGGGCCTGCTTCCCTTCCTCTCTGCCTGCCTCTCTGCCTGCTTGTGATCTCTGTCAAATAAGTAAGTAAAAATCTTAAAAAAAAAAAAGTGCAGTTACTTCTTTGGGACTTCTCTGAAGGCCAGCTGTACAAAGGAACCTGCTGCCAGGAGGCACCGCCACTCAAGGTCATCTCCTCCTTCCTTCTCCTCTGCATAAACATGATCCACAGAGCTAGATCAGTTTTTTTTAAGTAGAGGATTATAGATCTGCCCCAAGAGCTACTTATAAATAGCCAGTGCTGTAATCTTGCTGTAATAAAAAGTCCCCGAGCTAAAAGTGGATCAGATCATCTAATTGTTCCTGTATGACTGCTCTTGGGGCAGCCACACAAATCTTGGGCCTCACTCCAGGGTCATTCTCAACCATGGCTGGAGGTGTACTTCTCCACCCTTAGATGTATAGCCAGATCTGGAAAACAATAACCCTATTTTACAAGGAAATAAGGCTCCGGTGGGGTTATTTGTTAACAGGCTGGGAATGGAGCCCAGGGCTCTCAAGTTCATCTAATACAAAGTTTCGGCCTCAGCTCTGACATTCTGGGCAGATAGTTCTTTGTGGTGGGGGCTGTCATGCATTGCAGGATACTCAGCAGCACCCATCAGCGCACTCCACCCTAGTGGAGAACGCCTGGGCTAAATGTAACTCAATTATTTCTCAATGAAACTGAAAAATGCAACAGCACTCCCACAAAATGTTTATGGTTCTTTAAAAAACAAGAAACAGCTGTAGAACTCTAAGCCTCAGTTTGTTTACTCACTGGCAAAGGAGAAAGTATCTACTCCACTTAAGATTGTTGTAACAGGGGCCTGGGTGGTTCAGTGGGTTGGGCCTCTGCCTTCGGCTCAGGTCATGATCCTGAGGTCCTGGCATTGAGGCCCTCGTCGGGCTCCCTGCTCGGCACGGAGCCTGTTTCCCCCCTTCTCTCTCCGTCTGCCTCTCCGCCTACTTGTGATCTCTATCAAATAAATAAATAAAATCTTAAAACTAAAAAAAAGATTGTTGTAACAAATATTGTTCGGGAGACTGCTTGGCAAGGAGGCTAGCAGAGTTCCACACTCCTTCCCTTATCTGGGTAGAACAATTCTGGGAGGCTCACATCCTTGAAATCTAACAGACACTAAAGGCACCATAATCTCTGCAATTCTGCCAAAGAGCTTTTTTTTTTTTAAAAAAAATAAAAAAAAAAAAAAAACCCTTCCCATTTATAGAATTTTCATGAAAAAAAAAATCCTTACACTCAACATCTTAAGATGGTTTTCACGTGACTTTTTTCAAAGTCTACAGTCAACACTTTTAATCTCTAAGGGAAATGTGGGTAACATACTTCATTCTAACAGAAAGAATGTCAAGGTGTTATTCTCAAGATCGGTATTTGAACAGCTGAGCTTTGGGGACACCTGGGTGGCTCAGTCGTTAAGTGTCTACCTTGGGCTTGGGTCATGATCCCAGGGACTTGGGATCCAGCCCGGCATCGGGCTCCCTGCTCCATGGGAAGCCTGCTTCTCCCTCTTCCACTCCCCCTGCTTGTGTTCCCTCTCTCCCTGCGTCTCTGCCACATAAATAAATAAAATCTTAAAAAAAAAAAAAAACTGAAGTACCCAAACTTGTTAAAAGAAAATAAATAAAAACAAAAAGCTGAGCCTCGAAGCGTCAGAACTCCTCACAAAACACGTCCTTTCAGACAAGGGTAACTTTAAATCATCCATAAATACTCTAAGCCCCGGCCTACCAGAGCCCCTTCCCTGAATCGGTCTCCCCTCCACCCCTGGGTGCAGTGACCCTCCCGATTCCACACAGCGACACCTAGTGGCCCCAAATCACCCTGGCCCAGACCCCGCTCATTTCCGGATTCTGGGTCCCGTTTTCTCACCCTAACCAGACTCCTGCGTCCACGTGCTCCTAAAACCGAGCTGAACAGCCGAAGAAAGTGAGAGGCAGGCCTTCCCACCACCCGGACTTCCTCGCGTGCGGTGACCGCGCAGGTCCCGCCGCGCCCCGTCCTTACCCACTTCAGGGATCCATCTGTTACTTTTAAGCTTCAGCCTGCAGGTCTGGCGCCCACGGTCTCCGCAGACGCCCAAGAAAAGCCTGTGGGGAAAGAAAAAAATGAGCTTGGAAAGGGTAGACTGCAGAGTCGTGGCTTTCCAAAACCGACAGTCCCATCCACGGCGGTCTGCAGGATTAAGCAGAACTACGGGTTAGGGCGTCCTCCAGGCGCTCCACGAGGGGCCTGATCTGGCCGCTGACCCTGGACGTGAATTAAGAACCGCCCCCCGCAGCCTGCCCCGTGGGCCGGCCTCGGAGACACCGTGCACAAGGTGGTTGTGCGACGCACGGGGCTGCACAGGCTGGAAGCAGCTCTCCCCGGCCCAGGAGGGACTCTCTGGCTCCAGAGGAGGGCCTCCGCGCTCTCCGTCTACACGCGCGGCTCGGAAAGCGTCTTCCGACCCAGTACTCGACCCAAGCCTCCCAGCCGCCCTAGGAAGGAGACCGGCTACCGTCCCCATTCCGCCTCTGAGGAAGGGTAGTCGAATGAACTAGCGCCGGCTCAACGAAGACCTCGTTTTCCCACCTCCACAGCCTTACCCCAGCCAAAGGCCCGAGACTGCTCGTCCCCTTCTTTCCAGACAGAAGCCGCCATGCCTCCTGGCCACGCGGCCTGCCTCAAAGAAGAAGGCGGAGCCGCGCCTGCGCAAACGTCTTTTCAGCCATCTCGCGAGAGCTCTCGCGATGTTGAGAAATGGCTCATGGGAAATGTAGTCCAAGCAACCGCCGCTGGGGGGCGGTCGCATCCTCAGCGCGACTGTGGGGCTGGGGGTAAGATGGTTTCCGCCACCGGGGACAGTAGAGAGCTCAGGGTGGGAGCCCTGATCTCGGAAGAAAACGAAGATAGGCGGTGGCTTCAGCTACAGTCATTTATCTGCTGGGTCCACAGATAGTCCCTGGCCGAAACTGGGGTGGCGCAGGAAGTTCAAGGGGACCTCACGAGGGGAGGTTGCCACATTTGCTTATGTTTGCCTACCTTAATTTGTAAGTTTCTTCAAAGCGGGAGACAGGAGACGTCTGTCTCTCTTTTTAAAGATGGATTGATGGAGGAGCACCTGGGTGGCTCAGTGGGTTAAAGCCTCTGACTTCGGCTGGGGTCATGATCTCAGGATCCTGGGATCGAGCCCCGCATCGGACTCTGCTTGGCGGGGAGCCTGCTTCCTCCTCTCTCTCTGCCTGCCTCTCTGCCTACTTGTGATCTCTGTCAAATAAATAAATAAAATCTTTAAAAAAAAAAGAGAGATTGATTGATGGATGTATGGATTGATTGATTGATTGATTGATTTGAGAGAGAGAGACCACACTCCGTCTCAGAGCCCGCCCCAGGGCTCCATCCCACTGCCCTGAGATCATGACCCCAGAGGAAACCAAGAGGCCCTCACTTAACCACCTGAGCCACCCAGGCGCCCCAGGAAATATCTCTCTTAATTATTTTAGTTTTCTTGCTAATGTCCTCCCGTCTAGTAGTTGGTATTCAGGTGCCTCTGCTCACAGGACACACCCAACAGACACTCGTGGGCTCACCTCGCAGTAACTTCTATCTTGTAAAGTTGACCCTGAAGCTTCTCTAGCTTACCCTTGAACACACTATTTTGTATAATACCAAAAGGGGGAATGGGTTCTCTCTGTGTACACTAAGTTCCTTTCATTTCAGACTTGGAGAGGGAGGTTTTTGTTTTTTTAAGATTTTATTTATTTATTTGAGAGAGAGAGAGAGAGAGAGAGCACCAAGGGAGAGGGAGAAGCAGGGTCCCCACTGAACGGGGAGCCCGATCCCAGGACCCTGGGATCATGACCTGAGCCAAAGGCAGACGCTTAGCCGACTGAGCCACCCAGGCGCCCCTGGAGAGGGAGTTTTTCTCTTTGTTTTTAAGACTTCATTCATTTGAGAGAGAGAGTGAGAGCACAAGCACACACACAGGGAGAGGAAGAGACAGAAGCGGACTCCCAGCTGAGCAGGGAGCCTGATGTGGGACTCAATCCCAAGACCCCGGGATCACGACCTGAACAGGGAGCAGACACTTAACCGACTGAGCCATCCGGGCGCCCCTGAAGAGGGAGTTTTAAGGGTGGAAGTTCCCAAACTGGCTGGTATGCAGGCCAACGACCTGCTGTAGGAGAAAACAGGGAGAGTGGATACCTCTTAGCGCTTACTATGTGTATGTGCCGTTCACTCCTGGAGCACTGGACGTGCACTGATTTGTTTAACGTGCACCACTGCCCTGTGAAGGGCACCATCACTACCCCCGTCCCACAGAGGAGGGAATGCAAGCGTAGAGCGATGAGGTAACTTTCCCAAATTCATGCAACCGGCCATTGCTGGAGTCGGGGTTTGAGCCCAACCTGTAAAGTCCAAGCTTTCACCACTAAGTTGGACTGCACCGTGTATGTCTCTATACCCTTATTACAGGGCTTCTGGTTGTGGGGGAGAGGAGCAAAGAGGAGTTTTGTGCGTTTGCAGGGGTGATCAGGGGTGAAATTACTAGCCGGAATGATGGGCACCTGTCCTGTGATTTTGGCAGCGGCCAGGAGGCCAGAGCAAAATGCAGTGAGAAGGCTTGGGCCTGCACACCTGTTGGGCACACTGCCTGGGCAGGCCAGAAATCCATGGGAAAGACGGGGCGTCTGGGTAGCTCAGGCGGCTAAGCATCTGCCTTCGGCTCAGATCGTGATCACAGGGTCCTGGGATGGGAGTCTCAGATTGGGCTCCTTGCTTGGTGGGGAGTCTGCTTCTCCCTCTGCCCCTCTGCTCCTGCTCCTTTGCTTTCTCTCTCTCTCTTTCTCCTTCCCTCAAATAAATAAATAATCTTAAAAATCAGTGGGAAAGACAACAAAAAAAATGCATCAAATGACTGAATGAGCAGGCAGGGGTTCAGAGCTGTCGACACCAAAGCGTTAAATGTTGTGATTTTTTTTTTTTTTAAGTAGGATCCACACCCAGCATGGGGCTTGAACCGACCACCCTGAGATTAAGTGTGGTGTGCTCCACTAAGCCAGCCAGACGCCCCGAGGTCTGGGATGCTGGAGTTTTCTGTGCGGTGGAATTACTATGCAGCCGTTGTTCTATCTTGTATCCACACAGCTAGTGTGGATCTGTATTTATTGATATGGACAGAGTCACACAGTCGAGTGGTCAGTGACAGAAGCCCAACACGGGCTGATCAGGGCCCAAGTCCGCCATGTGGGTCAAGGGCCTTGGCCCTTGGCCCAACCTAGTTGGTTGGTCTGCTGTGTTCCGGTGGTTGGCTCATCAGGTTCCATTCACTGATGGAATTTCAGATATGGTATCTGAAACCCACATTAATAGGAAACTGAGTCTCTAGAATCTGAGGTTAATTTCTCAACTGGGAAAAGCAGCTCTGCTGTCATTAACAAGAACAGGAAGGTGGGTTGGTTATCCCAAGTGGCTGGCTGCTTAGTTGGGAGCTGCTGACCGGTGATTCACGGGAGGCCCACAGCCGTTCCTCCTCCATCTCACAAACAGAACAAAGCTACTGGTGGGCTTTGCGCTTCATTGGAGGCAAGCTCCTCCCCAGCCCTGAGGGCCGATCTTGCTGAGTCGGCACCAGACCCTTATGATAAATCTCTTCCTTCTGCCAGGAATTCAGAAAAGGGTTTGTGATGCAATTATGCCAAGTTTGGGAACGTTTTCTTGTTTTTAAAAACAACAGCCTCCCTTCTGGCTTTGGGAGGCTGTGAAGATAGGCTGCTTAAGGCTGTGGCAGCCTTCTTGCGTCCGTGAGGCTTGTTCCAAAGCCAGAATCTAAGGTCTGGCATGGCAAGGTAGAAACAAAGGACAGA